CCATCAGAATTTAATTTTTTTTTACTCAGTAACGTGAGGGGGTTTTAAATGTAGCAAAGTAAAACTACTTAGGTTAAAATTTACTCGAGTAAAAGTAAAAATTACATATTTCCAAAACTACTCAGAAAATTACAAATTACTCATAAAAAGTACTCAATTACAGTAACTTCAGTAAATGTAATTCATTACTTTCCACCACTGAAATTGGAGAACATGAAATGGAAACAGAAACAACGTTATGACAAGTCAAAAAAACGCCTCAGTCCAACCGCCAAGGATGATGTTGTACGAATCCAGGATCAAGATGGATGGAACAGGAAAGCAACTGTACTCCAGGAGGCTGGACCTAGATCTTTTGAAGTGAGGACTGAGGAAGGACACATGCTCAGGAGGAACCACCGCAGCCTTCTGAAAACAAAAGAAACTTTCACAGAGACTGAGATTGATGCTGATGCATTCAGTGTAAGCACAGCATCAAATGCTGACAATGATGGACATTTACAGCAGGACACAAGCAATGTTCAAGTATAATTACCGGTCTTGAGAAGATCTGGACGCCAGGAAAATCTGATAGACTGAACTTGTAAGAGCTTGAACTGAATGTTGGTTTATTGTTAAAAAAGAAAAGAAAGGACCAAGGAAGTTTGTGTTTCTTGTCTAAAAAAACAAACCAAAAAAAAAAAAATGGTTGTTTGAAACTGTTCATGTGTTGATAAATGTAAGTATCTATGTTTTACGATGTTTCAAGTAAGTATCAGTATGTTAGATTGAGTAAGTAAGTAAAGTAAGTATTGAGTGTATTATTAGTTTTACAGAAAGGGGGATGTGCTGATATACAGAATGCATTCAATAGTAGTTCCGGATATGCCCATTAGATAGATCTATTGAGCTACAGTATGAATACAGCGTCAACTGCTGGAGTAAGGCAGTAGAACAAGAGACGTGAAACATGTAAGACGGATGTTGATGCTCTTTAAAAATAAAGTTGAGCACATGCTCATGGGGAATCCTACCTTATATAATGACTGAGATCATAAACAACACAGAAGCCAAACACAGGCTTAGGATGATTTGATCTGCAGTCTCTAACAGGATTCTTGTTAGTGTCGGTATTTCCATGGTGACATAACATTCTCACTTCCTCCCAAACACTGCATTGGCATTTAGGTCAAAGAATCTGATTTGGCCAGAGAGACTTTTTTTGTTGTTCATGTTTTCTGTAGCCCTCTATTGCGATAAACTGTTAACGGGGGTCCAGTTATAATCATCAGAAGTCAAAGGACATCATTACAGGCCATTTTCATCATTTCGGTTCCATTAAACCTAACATACCTGTAATAACAGACCAGTGGTGATAATAAAATTTATAATACTTGGATTCTATCTCTTTTTAATTGTTTTTATTTTACATAAGAAATAGCTAAATTAATATCATGCAAAATTATTCAAATACAATTCAAAATGTATATTTTAAAACAGAGTATATAGAGGTTTGGTGAGCAGAGGAGCAAAGATTAATCCAATATATGTCTTTTATAATTAAATTTTCTTAAAATTTTGAATATTTTAATTGGCATTTGGCAAACCATTTTAATATAAACCAACAGTTATATTCCTCAAATAAGAAATTGTATTGCTAAGGATTGAATGAAGACCTACAAACCTTTTTTGTGTTAAATCAATTACATAATGATACACGGGAAGCACAAACAGAGGGATAAAGCCCAGAGCACGGACAATCGTTCCATTTCTTCTCAGTACCAAAGCTGGTATGCACACAGTGCCCATTTCCATGATCATTGTTGGGTTCTCCTGGAGTCCAAAGAGCATATCTTGCCACAGTCCCATATCAGACCACATCCATCTGCCTTCTTTGTGCAGATCAGAGAGTCCGATCCAGGTGACTCCCTGAGCAGGATCAAAGTTCTTGATCAGGTTCTTCACAAACTTCTGTTCGTTCTGACTGTGAATGGAAACCAGGTTTGCTTTCTCTGACAGACAGTGAAACTCTGCATCAGCCCAGCTCATACGAGTGGCAACATACTTGTAGCAGCGGCCGTTGAAGCTGTACCAGAACATTGGACAGCTGCCACACTCCAGCTTCATCACCTGGTTAGCTGAAGGGGAGACAGCTCCAAGTGACACCCCCAATAAGAAAAACAGCATCACGCTAATGTTGCAGAGTCTTAGAAAAAGAAATGCCTGGCACTTAACTGGAAAGCTGTTGTCATTTACAGAGCTGGATGACAACATTTTTTTTTCATACACCCAAAAGAGGGCTGTCTTCAAAGCCCCCCTTAGCCTCACCATTATACAGTTGGTCACATGCTTGTGACACGTTTTGTCCAGATGTACACGACTGCTCTTAAGTCAAAGTACCAAAACTAATCAGATTGTGTTCACATTTTAAATTTGTTTAATTGCAGAAAACATGCCTGTTTTGTTAGATTCAGCAATAATGGAATCAATAAAAGCATTAGTGACCTCATTGTGTTGGATTGTTAGCATGTTTTAGATGCTCTAAAAACAATTTCATACTGCCTGTAGAAATAGAGATTTTGTACAAAATAAGAGTACAATTTCTTGACAATATTCTCCTCACTTTTTGAATTTAACATCATTTGGCTGATCAAAGTTTGAGTTTTGTTTTCTGCTGATAAGATAATCAAGTAAATGAATGAGAGCATCTGTTTAACAGGCACATCTGTTACAAAATGTAGCTAATTAAACAAATGGTGCTTTGTTTTTTTTATTGCTCTACAACTGAGAAATATCCAAATAAATGTATAGTTTAACTTTTGATACTCAGCTATTTTTGACGGCAGACATTGTTAAAGTAAACATACTAAAATAATCCGTTGTTACATTTTTTTCTTAAATGAAAAGAAGAATGAACCATTGCCTGGCAAAAAGAAGAACCTCAGATTAACTCACGAAATGTATTTTAAAATGGGACGGGGCTACCTTTTAGCAGTGGTGGATGAGGTACTCAAAGGTAGTACTTGATTAAAAGTATTGACACTCATAGTCAAAACGTACTCAACTACAAGTAAAAGTTTCTCAGTCAAATATCTCAGTGCAAGACTCAGTTGATCCCACTTGGGAGAAGGCGGTCCGAAAAGGTCCAGTTTGCAGGAAGGCTTCCTACCGAAAGGCAAAGAACAAACAAGGTTTAGTCTCAGGGAGAAACAACCGCTCAGTAAAACTCAGTGTGATCTCAGCTTGGCTAGAGGACTAGAACTCAAAAATGCAAAAACTCAGATTAGACTCAGAATAAACCAGGCTTGGCTAGAGTACCCCAAACTGGCAAACACTCTGGCGTCGAAGTAGTGGCAACCAGCAGCTTAAGAGCAGTCCGGTGATGAGGCAACCGCTTGCAGGTGCGTGAGGAGGCGAACCGGAGCCAGGCGCATCCTGGTGGTGGAAGGGAGAAACACAAAAGACAAACAGACAAACACAAAAACTGGGATCCTGACAGAGCCAAAAGGAACAAGAAGCTGCCTGGAAATTTAGTGGAGTAGAAAGTATAATATTTGACCTTATAATGTAGAGGAGTGAAAGTTAGAAGTAGCCCACAAAATAATTTTTCAGGTAAAGTAAAAAAAAAAAAAAAAACTTAAGGAAAGAAATCAAGTAAATTTACTTTTTTTTTAAACTTTCAACCACTGCCTTTTAGTCTTAACTTTTACTGTCATGGTCTTGTTTCTGTTGTGCCTTACATTGCTCCATGTTCCCTAGTTTTATTGGTTTAATTCCTGTTTTTTTTTAATTTCTAGATTTATGTTAGTTCTAATGTTTTTCTGTTGTCCTCTGTTGCCCTCGTGTGTGTGTGTGTGTTCTTGTGTTCCTTTCCCCTTGGCTCCCTCGTTGTCTCCTCTCACACCTGCTCCGCATCTGCTCGTTAGCCCTGCCTTTGTCTCAGTCAGCTATACAGGTGCTGGTCATAAAATTAGAATATCATGAAAAAGTAGATTGATTTCAGTAATTCCATTTAAAAAGTGAAACTTGTATA